TATTGCACGGAAACAGCGAAGTCGAAGTTTTTCGGTTCCCTTTCTCAAAGCGAAGTCGAAATTGGTATCCAACTCGGTTATCCCCGAACCCTTCCCTTCTTTCGATTTAGAATTTACGATTTACTTACGATTCAGAATCCACATATATTCGCACTTCAGAGGCCTTCAAGGAAATTTTCGGATTGTTTTGTATTGACAGGATTTACATAGAAATGAATAAATAAATAGTCAAAATTTGCAAAAGCAATAGGCAAGCGTCCTAGCTGTCACTGCGTCCATTACGTCCACTACGCGCGTGCCGTACTCAGAAGTTGAGCATACTGGACCACACTGGAGCTCCCACTTCTAGAAACCTGGTCCCTAATCAAAATTGCTTTTTCGCACACTCCAATAACAAATACCGTGCCAAATTGGAGAATTGAGGCTACTAGTCTTTCTTCGGCTTTAGAGGGGCCCTTGTATAAATATGGGAGCCGCGTCCGCACGAATTACGAATTGTGTTGGACCAACATGCGCACCGACCAATACCAGCCTCAGGTAAGCTTTAATCAGTCGAGTGCTGAACTTCTCTGATCTGATGCGTGAAAGGATTCACCATTTGAAAGAGAAAAAGGTTGTTAAAAAGATGAGATTGCAAAATCGAATTTAAATATTATTGGAGAACATGAAAAAGATTTCAAACGAGTGGCAAGATTCAAAAACCACATGGTGGATATGCACCACAAAGAGTTTTGTTTAAACGAGCTCATCAATTCTGTGGACGCTCCCACCTACATAGAACTCCCTCATCACCGTCTCCACACTGTTCGTTCGCAGCTGATACGGCTCAACTTTCCTCCAAGGTACTGGTTTATTTATTTAGAATTAAACCATGGCCGTTGCGTATTTGAAACATTTTGTTGCAGTAATTCCTACTGTCTTCGTAATCCCAACTATAGATACGTTCCTCACATAGGGGGGGGTCTTTCAGGGCAAGCCGCGCTTTTTTTTCTGCATATTGTAGGGACGCATGTAGGGAACACAAAACCATGTTTCATTTTCGCTGAACGGTTTAGCAGTACCAAAAAAGAAGCATAAGGTACTGTTAATGGTTCGATCCCCGTGGCGACTAAATTTTGCATTTGGGTTGGCGCCTACGGTTTGGTGCAATGTCAAAATCAGATGTCAATATTCGTCAGGACCATTTTGAAGCCAACAAGTGGCCGCCAACCTTGATTGCAAAATTTAGTCGCCGCGGGGGATCGAACCACCAAGGTATCATTCATATCAAAAAGGTATCAGAAAACGTGGCTTGCCCTGAAAGACCCACCTTGTCAGAAACATTTCCCTTACTTCCGTTCCTACGCCCTATTTCAATAATTTCTTGAAATCACCTCAGTTATCTTCGACACAGCTCAACAGGACTCGCAGAAGTGGGGGATTCTGAAGCGCACATAGTTGACGAAACAGGCAAATTTGAGTGCCTGATACCTGAAATTCAGTACCGTAGTTCGAGTTATCTACCTGTAAAATGTTCAACACGCGAGGAAGCAGTACAGTAAGCGGTGCTATACAAGTGGGGTGGGCACACCCAGCTTTTCACGCATGTCAAGTGACTGCCCTCACCCCCACCCCCCTAGATTGGCTACACTCCCCCTGGCTCACGAATTCCCCGATTCTCGTGACAGTATAGTAGCGGCAGCAGTCCCACTTACATACATTTCTGTTCAAAAAATGCGGCGTGCCCACCCTACTTGTATAGCACCCAGTAAGCAACAACAATTATAAAAATACACCAGAATTAGAAATAGAAATAGGAAGAAAGAAACGGCAGACGGTGCCAGACCAACTCAATAAAATTCTTTCTTCCCGCATCCACTCGGCCACCCGCACCATTTTCCCGCCTGTGTGGAACTCGATCAATTAAACTGTTGACCCCCGCGGCGTCGCCTGAACGGATTTCCATCGATGCCTGGACCTACTCCTTATTGATAATCAATCGAAGAGATTATCAGCCCCACTAAACATGAGCTCTACGGTATTAAGCTAAATGGAATCATTGTTGGCCATCGCTGTCCGCAGTGAGAAGGAGACCTCCTGTGGTATGACCAACTGGGTCAGTACCGTACCATGTCGATGAAAAGGGGCGAGACCCGCTTCAACCGCACCCGTGCATCGATTTCCCTGCCTGAAAACTTTCAGTACCTAAGCCAGTGTCTACGCTGGAACGAGCTACCGAGGGGATGAGCACTTCGATAAAGGGAATCTAAGGCATTCAAAAGCATGGTCGGTGCTATACAAGTAGGGTGGGCACGCCGCATTTTTTGAACAGAAATGTATGCGTGGGACTGCTGCCCGCTACTATACTGTCACGAGAATCGGGAATTCGTGAGCCAGGGGGAGTGTAGCCAATATACAGGGTGCGCCAAAATTACGGAGACAGCGACTTCGAGTTGCCTAGGATGAGCAAGGTGCAATTCTTTGAAAACAAAAATGCAGTGACGTGCACAGTCCCATTCTGAATCGTCGACATCCATGCAATTTTTGAAATTCCTTGGTTTGTGTTTATACGGGTCCTCAGAAACATCGAGGAACCATCGACTGTGGCACGCAATGTGGCGAGTAGGACTCGTCAAGCTCATTTTAGAGCGGTTTCTTCAACGAATCCCTAGACATAATGTGTTTTATGCAAGCCTCAGCTTCTAGAACGGATCCGACAGCGTACCCTATCGAGCTCAGATCTGAAATGCTGTTCTACCACCGTTTAAGCCGACAAAGTCGAAAAAATCGGTTCTGCATCAATGCTGCACTAGTACTGAACCACCCTTGCCTCGTAAACGGGAGCTCCTACTTGATGGAAGGCCCAGCAACGATTTTCAAAGTGAAAATAAACTCAGGATAGCAATGGGCTCTGATAAGTCCAAAAGAGCCCCCCTGATTCCTATCTCTCGTGACATCCAGTGAAACCAGCGCGTCAACTACCTGCAAATTCTATCGCACACAATCCTTAGATTGTTCGTGGTCGCCACAGAAACACGCCCTTCTCATCCAGAATGACTGCATTCAGCTCCTTGTCCCCTGTACCACTTGGAGCATCTATTGATAGTGCTCGGGTATACACCAAAACGATGATAATTGTCGCGTGCCAAAAACCCTCAACGTCGAAGTCCAATGATTTAGGGACGGTGTCAGTATCAGTCAACCGCTGCAGCTACCATAGATTTTGGTGGTTGAACAAGGTAAGCATAAACAATTCTACACCACAGTACCAAAACTAGGACAGAAGAAAACAGCATCTGTGAATATCAGTTCAAATTGTTTGCTCATGCGTTGTCTCCGTAATTTTGGCGCACCCTGAAGGGGTGGGTGTGAGGGCAGTCACATGACATGCGTGAAAAGCTAGGCGTGCCCATCCCACTTGTATAGAGCCGCATGGTCAATATTTTCCTTTATTCCGAATCCTTAGAAAATCATCACTAGCCCAGCCCCCTCCTCCCTGGTATATGCGAAATAATTCACTCAATCCGCAGCCTGTTTTTCCCCTCCAAAACTTTATTTCCCCTAGTCGGTGCGAACTTTTGCATCAAAATGCCGCCCAACTACACGAGTGCCGAAAACAGTGTTGAACACGAAGTCAATGGGCGCAGTACTGCTAGATTCAAGCATGGTCAACCGTATGACCAACCGATCCAGACCAGTTTTTCGCTCACGGAAAGAGGAGGGGGGTCTTAAATGCAGGGGTCAGCGGCAAAAATGTTGGTGGATCGACGTTTCAAACTGGCTAGAGAGCGGGAAAGGGGGAAGAAGGGGAGGGGCGGCTAGCATTCTCTCAGTTGAGTTTAAAAATAGCATAGCATGGATCTGAAAGGTCATCATTCAGAAGCCATTGCAAGATGGAGTCTTCCAAATGCTTCTGCAACTCCACAGCAACAGGCGAGTGCGTGGCGCATGCGAGAGCAGGATTTGGTAGCGCTACACTCCAAATTCGATTCATCATGAGCGAGTAGGTTGCACTGAAGAATCCAGATCCTACGTTTCCACTGAATACATTTAGGAGAGTTACGGTCGTTAACGAGAGTTGGTCAAGATTGTTAGGATTAACACACTACCTGAGGAACATCGGGAAACGGGCTTAGCCGGGATGCTCTGCCTCACTCATAACCCAGAAGAAATTGGAAACTTGGGGAAAATTTGTATCACAATTTTGATGACAACAAACGATTCAATGTGCTCACAAGTAAAAACTATGTAATGGACATTAGTGATTTTTCAGCTTCATCAAGTTTTACAGTGTAACCAACCGATTCTAGAAATCTCAAAAACATCTGCAACGGCCAGCTTTGCAGTTTTCATGAGAATTTTCTTTCGGCAGCTTTCGCCGTTATTGATCGTCAAGTGGTTTCCCTCGGCTAGCAAACAGCTTCCGTTCAATTTGTTGCAATATTGCAAGGTTCTTTTGACCATTTGTTATAGTATTTGTTACATACGTTCGAGTCCTTCGAGTCGAGCCAGAAAGAGTTCTACGCGGTAGCTATCCATGGTCCGCGTAACGTAAGGTGATGAGCCTGTAACACAGTTGAAGAAGGTGGTTCAGGTTGATGTGCTTCAGTCTTCGATCATCAATTATTTTCATTATAAAAACGATAATGAAGCACAACAACCTGAACCACCTTCTTCAAACGAAGATGCTCGGTCTAGGGAATTTGTAAGCCGGAGCACCGCAAAATCGACAAAAAGAGTTTGATTTCGTGCGCGACTTCACAAAAGTAGACAAAATGGCTCCAAATTCCTGAATTCCTAACTCTAACAAGCTTTAGTTATTACGCATGTAATTTCGAATCCTTTTGGGAATTGGGGACTTTAATAGGGATATTGACAGCATTGCTCTGCTGCAGCACATGCATTTTTTTAGACAGTAAGGTCATAGCAGCACTTTGGAAAATCCCGTGCAGAAAAGTTTATTCAGACGGAGGTTGCGACAACCATCTACATGCAGGTGTGATTATGATCTGCTAAAGTGCATGACTATTGAAGCTATAAAGAGGAGTTCAGGAGATATGTCAAAATGCGAAATGTTTCTCGTACTGCTGGCATTCTTCTTAGCTACTGTCAACACTGAGGGAGGTGAGTATTGCTAGTCGATATTAGAGCATACATGACCCATCACACCGAATATCTTTTGCGCATAATGGCAGATGACCTTCAGATTCCACAGCAAAGCACTCTTCTTCAGGGTTCCTGAAAAAGCTGCCTCCAAGGATGATGGAAACGTTCAAGTACTTCCATAGGCGGTACAACATGCGCATCGTTGGTATTTTAATGGCTTGCTTGCTTTTTTGAGCAGAGTTGACAAGATAACCGAAAGCCTTGGAATGATCCTAAACGACCTTCTTATATACTGATGTTGACACATAGGTATGGAGTAAGGATTTGGCAGACCAGGCGGCGCTCGAGTCACTAACAGGAAGAACTCAAGCAAAACTGAAGCTCAAACTGTCAAAGTTCATATATCAGCAATCCTATAGACGTTTATGTCGTCTTATAACAAAAAATTTTGCTATTTCAGACCATTCAGAAACAGCGATGACGAAAGATTGAAACTCCAAGGCAAGGTGCTTCTAACCTCTCAGCAGTCTCTCAAAGCAAATGGAACAGTGAGGTGAGTTGTCGTTACCAGATTCTTTTTCGCTTATTGGCGAATGATATCATACCATCTGTGCAAAAACTTAGGACAAGATAAATGAAATAAGATAACAATTGCACAAGAACGCGGTTCAACGTCCACAGAGCTCTCAGTATCTACCTAGCGTAGGATACTGAGAGCTCTGTGGACCGTTGAACGGTTCTTGTCAATTGTTTCCTGTACCGCTGTAGCAGAAAGTATAGATGGTAGAAAGAATATGAAAGCATAGGGGATGGAAGCATAATTTAGCGCCGCTGGGAGAGCGAGTATTTTCAGAAAAATTGAACATAAAAAATTGCTGCTTCCTCGGACTGGAATCTGTGTTGGTAATCAGAACAACGTTCATACATCATACGATTCTTCTTTAGAGCCTTTTTAAAAAACATCCTCAGATGCGAGTTTTCGGAAATTTTATAGGTGGAAGTATACCTAGTTATGCGTAGCAGTGTATATCTCATGTATACATAGAAACCGAAGAAACATTCTCTTTCAGGTCACCGCTCTCCCCTTAGGTATATTCTACGGATGCGGCGGCTTTTACACCAAATTCAAAGGAATGGCTCTTGTGCTGCAGATTGCGTGTGTCTACAACTAGAACGAGCTTTTCTTGATTGTTCAATGAATCGTTCTAGCAGTTGAAAGGCGGAAAGAGATTCGAAGTAGTGATGTGTCGAAGCAGATCATATGTTCTATAGAATAGGCAGACGCTGCATTCGCTTATTGACAACTCTGCCACTTCCAAACATTTGCGGAGATGTGCAGATGGAGCTAATAGGAGAAAAGATCTCAAAGGAAAATGATCCCCTCACATTTCATTCTGAAAACTTGTACAACAAGGAGCGTCAGCTATCACTCAGGGCGCGCAAGCATGGTCTGAGTTTTTTGGAACAAAAGAATTTCGCTGAATATCACCAAAATTAGAGCTGCCTCTATTACAACAGGAACTAGTTCCACTTTTGATAATCTTTCCGATAAATCGTGCATGTATTTGAGTAAATCAAAGAGCCTAGTAAAATAGTACATTGCCGTTCTGGATATACGTAGGCAGCCTGAATGATTACACAACAAAAACTGGAACTTGTACATCACGCTGTTTACACCTTAGCTATATCCCACATGGGGCGGAAGTGGTGTAGTGGCAAGTGGCACGCTTACCACGCGAGCGGTCCGGGGATCAAATCCTCCTGGGTCGTGAGTCGCCCGGGCCAACCAAGCCTTCCATCCCTCCGGGGTCGGTTAATTGGTACCAGACTTGTCTGGGAGGATAAAAACACTGACTTGTACATCGGCTGGCCCCCGCAAGTCATTGTATAGGCCACATCGCATTCAAACGCCACTACGAATGTACAAATGGAAGTAGAATGCGTGCCGCATCCCAAAAAGGGATTGATCAACGGCAAATGCTTTATCCTTTTATCCTTTATACCCCACATCCTGTCATTGAACTTCTTCTTTGATTTGGGAGTACGATTTTATATGTCAAAAAGTAACTTGACGAGGGTTGCCAAGACGGATTTTGCGGTCCACGGATTTACTGTCACCGTAGCCCACGTCAGCACTGGTGCGCGGAGGTAAACTGGAGCGGGGTGGTTATATCCATCAGGCTCTCATGAAAATTCACCCTTCGCACTTTTTCTTGCGAATGCGGATTTTTGTGCTTTTGGTGACCATACCTTCTTCTCTTTCATTTCTATCGCAAACTTTTGGCATGGCAAGAAAAAACAGGATGTGCGTTTTCTAACGAGTATTTAACCCAAAATCGCAAAATTGCACTTTTTTGGAGGTTTTGCCGAGCAATTTTTTTAAAAGCTCTTGAAAAAAGCTCAAAACTCCTAAAAAAAACTTTTTCAGACTTTGGCAAATGATATGGGAACAATGTGCAAAATGTTAGTCTGCTAAGGAGCGCTTACCCGTTTTTCAAAGTTCATTTTCTGAAACGCACGTTAACTTTTTTTTCTTGTTTTTCAGCTGTAAGTTCGAAGTTTTTGGGCTTCCAGCATCACTAATTCCTGCGAAAATTTCGTTGTGGAGAAACGGAGGATTTTTCACTGCGGGTCCTCGGGATTGCAACCCCCACCAGTTCATGACCAGAATGCGATCCCCCCTTCAAATAGTACGGACGGAAGGTTAACCCTATTCATGGTGCCAGAAATTATAGAAGGATATCATGTTTGCGCAAAATCGGCTAGTACGGAAGCGCGATAGCTAGCCGCAATGACGGCGTGCCAGAATCGCGGACGCGCCAATATTGCGAATAACTGTCCCGCCTCCCTATTCGTGTTGTTAAGGGTTCGGATTGTCATTGCTCCCCCCCCCACAAGCCTACCACTAGCCTCGATGCGGCGAGGTGGTCACCGTTTCAAGGGCTAACTACCCGTGGGTCGGTATATGTATAAGCAACGATACGCATGAAAGGATCCGGACCGGCGGAGATGGAAGCACGAGCTCTAAGTGCAGTGGAGCAAACGGCCTGCAGACAAAAACCGCCGCAGGATTTGGAGTGCACAGGAAAAAAAGCCTCGAGGCATGGGGACTGTCTACGAATTTGCACCTACAACTGTCGTACCATCGCCTCAGCGGCCGACCAAACCATCTTGATGGAGGCCAGCAAGAAGCTTCGCTTTGACGTCATCGCCCTCCAGGTGTCGGAAACCAAGGAAACAGCCCTCAGAAAGACGAATGAAGGCAGCGTACTTGTTCTAGAAGCCAAAGTGTAAGGAACTCTGCAGGCATTGGATTCCTTGTCCACAACCGGTTCGAGCACCTGGTCGGCTCAACCAAGGTAATCGGTCCGCGCTGGACCATCGCCTACGCATCGACAAGCGCACCTCTATCAGCATTATTAATTGTTACCGCCAACGTCAACAGCAATTGGATGGAGAAAAGACACGTTTTATAAGGAGCTGTACGAGGCAACCAAGAACGAGCGTTTCTACTACAAACACGTTGTTGGAGACATTGACGCAGTCATTCACGAGAAAAATGCGGCGACAACGCGCATGGTAACACATGGAACCGAGATACGAACAAAACGAATTGTATGATGGACCATCTCAAGCAAGGCGACCTCTTCCGCGAAAACAGCCTCTTCATAAAAAGCGAGGTCGTCCATCGATGGACATTAGAAAGCCTCAACGCAGCAGCTCACAGCGAAATGGACCACGAAGAAAGTGGAGTTCGTCGACGCCACTAAAGTAACTGCATTCCGCGCCGGAGGCGACCATCGGCTTGTCGGAGCCAATAGCTGGCTTCAAGCAAAACTCCGAGGGAAAGTTCACTTCCGACTTCTTCCGACTTTCGCAGTACAACACAAACACCATGGAGGTGCCGCTACTCACACACGCGGCAGGAGGCACAGCAACGTGTCCCAGGACTACGATTTGCTTGTAGGAGGACTTCTACACTGCGCAACGGCATCGGTTGTGACAGCAAGAATGAACTCGAAGAGTAGGATCGATGACAATGCTCGCACACTCCTCCTAACAACGGGCTGCCGTTCACCGTAACCTGCATCCACACCACTGGAACGTGCTACAATCAACAAAGCGTGTCGCATCGCTGTAGTGGAGTCAATTCACCGAAACAAAGACAGAAGAGAAAGCGAGCCTAAAGCGATGTCATCGAGACATTAATGACTCTCGCTCGATCACCACGGTCATGAGCGACGCGATGGGCAGACCGCAAACATCGGAATTGAGGATTGAAGCAATTGCCGTCAGCTTCTATACGGACGTCTAAAAATCTACCACACCATTTTCTCTTATCCGTACTTCAACGCAAGTGATGAGAGTCCACGAACAGAAGAGTGGGAGGTAAAACATCAGTCAGATCTAATCCAGAATCACCTGAACGAATCTCCGGTGTGATTCTTAAGTCAGGCGCTTATGCACTGCACCAGCCAAAAAGCTGTAGATAGCATCTGAATGCGCAAAGGAATCGACCTAAAGACTTGAAAGTACATCCCTGTTATGAAAGTCGAGAGCCCCAAATATGAACTATAAGTCCATGCACAACTATTCACAGCCATACATAATTTTTTTCCGCAACAAGATAATAAGGAAGATTTCTGCGGTATGGACCACAACCACACCGTCACAAAACTGAACGAGTCGGTTTGAATACTTCTAGCAACCGCTCCTTCTCTGCTTTATCGACTATGCGAAGGGACTGGACAGTGTGGAGCTGAACTCTGTGTGGGCACTATATCATGCGGGGTCGACTCATGGTACAGCTGAATGCAGAACATGGCAAGCATCGCCACGGCCACTGACCACCATCCGCACGTTCTACACGAGATCTACCGCTGCTAGAATGAAATAGTCATGCAGGTCGCACGATCTCCCCATCCTATTAGCGACATGCAATACATTGCGATCTCCCACTGGGACTAGGGACAGTGACATCGACGTCAAAATGTTCAACTTAACGCTTCTGCGCATAACTATATTCGTCCAACCATCATTTTTCAGAGCAAAACAGAGTTGAAGCAGTGTTTGGAATGGAACTGGTTGCAAAAGACAACAACCTGGACGAGTTTACGAGCGCAGTGGACACTACGCCAATCGATCTCAACTCGAACTGCTTCAGTTCCGCTGTTCGCCAACACAGCTTTCCGAATCACTACCTGAAACTGTAATGCGACCCGCTTCTGAGCCTGGGTCTTTCGAAGTCCCACTCAGCAAAAGCACAACTCGTCGTGAAAGCGTCACACTTCCCTTCCTCGACAGCCACGTAGCTGCTTCTCGTGGTATATATGTAGTATTCCTTATCGCTCCATGTTTATCGTAATGGCTTCCTTTGATTGACAGCTTTGGCTTCTAGGACACGAAGCGATTAGAATCCAACAGCGATACTTGCACTGACAGTCCTAGAAGAGTAATGAGATAAGTAAACAGATAAAGAGAAATAGAAAGGAAAAAGAGATCTAGCAAGAAGCAAAGCATCTATAGTCCGAAATTTCCATTACGCTGGCTGTGCCTGAACTCAACAACTAATTCAAGAACTATACGATCGCAGTCAACACCTGACCTTCTCCAAGAAGCTGATGAAAGTAAGGAATCCCAGTTACATACTTATCGATACCGTCATTTTCTTTACTTCTAAAACGTCCCCCATACGCCTAATATGATTACCCTCTGCCTTTATTGTAAACTGCGAGTTTTTTATGACGCCCTGCGTTGTGCACCTTTTTTTACATTTTTTCCATCATACCTTCATTTTCGAAACGGCTCAGTGAAACAACATCGCGTTGCGTTACTATGCAATTTCCGTTGAATCAAATACGCTGGTCGCCATAAAACATTCCGTGAGGAAATACAGTTAGAGAAGCATCTCAGAAATATACACAAAATGGCAGTCATTGTAAAATCTGTTTATTTCCAGTTATTTATCTCCTATCACAATTTCACTGCTAGTTCATTCCCTAACTCCTCTCGTGGTAATGAAGCAAGTTTTTTAAACCGCTGTATACTATAATACTATCTAAGAACGAAAAAGTAAAAGATTCAATAAATCACAAGATAAAGTTTGGGAAAATAGCGGTCCATACAAGGTGAACGCTCACGTATAGCGTTGGGTGGGGCGATTAATGAGTGTCTTACACCTGCTTCCAGCTAGAGAGATTTGGTCGTTGCAAAACCCGCACCAGAACCTATACGGCATCTGCACAGGAATAACGGCAACATCATGCGCGGCTATCCCGTCCAGTAGGTATGATCTCCGTGACTCCTCACAATCAGTTTCCAGCTCAGACGGATTTCTCGTCGTGAGAGGGTGAAGAATGACGACAATGGAGGCCGACAGAAAACAGAAAGTGACAACATTTGCTCTTCATTTCAGTGCTCCTACGGCTCCAACGCAGGAGGATACGTTAGAACACTCATTGCTTGAATTTGTCTCTAAGGCCGATGTCATACTTTGCGACTTGAGGAGTTCGCTAGGGTCCGCGGTCGCAAATCGAGCGACTCGCAAATGGCTCTTCACTGTAAGCGCGACGCGACCGCGAACGCTAGCGAGTCGCTTGATTCGCAAAGTCTGACATCGACCTAACAAATAAAGTAAATTGTGGAGGGGACCTCTCGTAATACATATACTACAGTCGATCGCCTGCATGTAATTAGGTTTCCAACAACATAGCTCGTACAACGGCCTATCTCATCTTCCCATGCTAAGGAGGAAAAGATTTAAGACATTTCATTTTGAACTCATGTCCTCAACACACAGCCTCAACGCTCAGTACATGACGTTTTTACACCATACGAGCATTCAGATAGCCCCTTGGAGCGATTACTGGCTGGAAATACGAAACAATATAAAATTACTTGTCTTCTCTACCTGGAGATAAGATCGAATTAGGTCTCCGAACCTCATACATGGACACATTGCTTTCCTATGGGCAGCATAATCTAAATGACAACTGAACTATCGGATACCAATGCTATTTCGCTTCACAGTTACTTATTAAGCAACAATAACACTGCTCCTTCTTCACTTACACTCAGCTTGCAAGCATGATTTGACAGCAAGAATTAAAACAGCAAAACGTCAGGAACCACTAAAGGCCAAATTCGCGTTAGGTGGCGCATCACCCGAAACCAAAACAAAAAACTAGCCTTATTGTCAGCTCTCTTTAGAACACGTGTAAAACAACGAACTTAGCTTAACCAATAAATGCCATGCCGGGGTTTACTGCCATCAGTGCGATCTGATTTAACGTTTATATTAACATTTTATGTCTACCATTAGTAATCATTCCCAACTCCCATCTAACTTTCATTTCTGAAGCAACTATCACATCTAATCAATCGCGAAATAAGCCTTCAAGGACGGAACCACTTGAGGCGCTATCACAATATACGGGGGCATTGTGGTGGCAGTGCATTAGAAATCGCGTTAAAAATCCTTGTTGTTATAATCGGCTAATGACCTTAGCGGAGGTTATACACTCAGGGTGCATGAGCATTCATTCCCCCGAATTCCTGCCACTTTTAAGGCTCAGCCCTAAAGTATCCCGTATAGATACGATAGCCCTACTTGAAAAAAGAAACTGAGGTTCTTTCTTGAGAACACTTTTCACATTTCCCAGCAAAATTGTTTCTCAATGGTAGCGGCTTCACGGCCCTGACTATCGAAAAGCTATGCTGTGAACAGTTCCGATGGTAAACAACTTCTCTGACGTGAGCAATGGCAAATGAGAAAAAAAATTTAAATTACGTTCTGTTACACACTCATATTCATAAAATGTTTTGTTATACAAAAATGTTAAGCTAAAGTACATCTTGTTAGCTATAAAAACGGAGAGACCGATGATTTCGTCACACACGAAATGTTGCTCTTCCTGGGGCTACTGCTGCTTCCCACTATTGACGCTCAGGTGGTAATTGCGTCACTGCTACTGTACTGAAGAAGATGGAAATCTCTGCCCAACCTGTTCTTTCAGGGAAAATACCTCTGCCGAAAAGGTTCGAATTTATCTATATGAAGCTCATTGAAAAGGAAACCAAAACTCTGGTCAGTGTCTTCAGTGAGATTAGTCGCGTAGTATGAGAATCTTTGAAGTGATTCCTCGACCGGCTTCGTTCTGCCAGGTGTCAAATTTACAAACAGGTGTGGGGTGAAATATTGGCGGAAGAGGCGTTGGACATATTGATGAAGGGATATTCCATGGACTTTTCCTATGACCTGAAGATCTTAGCGGAACAGTTCGTATTTGTTTCCTTATGAACTTCCCATAATACATACCACAAAGTACGTTGTTCAGAAGTTCTCAAAGAAAGACAAAAGGAGTCTGGGAGAGAAAGTGCTTCACACTCTGAAATACACCTTCCAAAGGAGGCGACACGAGGTTAGTTGGAGTTACAAGGAGCGTTGTCATCTGCAGCTTCGCTTATTAGCGAAGTTGAGGCATAACACGCTCTGATGTGTTGATGGTTGATTAAGAAAGCCAAACCAGTCCACCATGGACAGCTGAAACATGCGAAGATAAGAAAGTAGCGTATGTCGACTACGTTTTGCCAACGTCCGGGCAGATTTATAGGTATAAACAGGTGCCAAAAAGAACACTTCACTCCGCACAGATATTTATCGCTAGGAACGCATCAAAAATCAAATGATCTCAACAGGTATTAAAGAGTACGTTGCAATTGGTCCAAACTGCTTCGCACAGTCATCAGATAATCCTGGAAAGCTATTCAATCAGTATCGTTGAAGAAATTAATGCACTTCAGGTCGGAGCGATTACGGTAAGCCTCGTTGAGCCGACGGTGATGGCAGATAACGTGTCATATTCTGAAGACGGCGGGGCAGTGAAGAGATCCTGCTTCTGTTTACGGGGAAAGACCTAAGGAATATTCCGCCGTAAAAACTTCGTATAAATGTCCTGTGTGAAAAAAGTTACGATATGTGCGCCAGTCTAGGTTCATCTTTTTTCCACCCCGTAGATGCCAGTCCCTCTAAAATGCAGGCTGGCGCGAGAGCAAAATACGACGTCAACTCGGTTTCGACCTGAGCGCGAGTTTTGAAGGCTTTTTCCGTCTAAGTAACGAGTTAGATCGGAGAACAACCAATAGTCGGAAGGAGCGATGTCTGGGCTATAAGGGGGATGAGGGAGTACGGTCCATCCATACTTGCACGAGCTCCGACTTCACCTCTCTTGCAACGTGCGGTCTGGCATTGTCATGCTGGAAGTAGACTTTTCGAACTTTTCCTACCCTCTGATCGACAATTCGCTTCAAATCTCGGAGCTGCTGCGTGTAGAGATTTGCAGTGACAGTAGCTCCCTCATCCAGCAGTTGCCAAAGTACTGGCCCATGTACATCCCACCAAATTGATAGCATAACCTTCTTGGGGTGAACATCTTTGGGAACCTCTTTTGGTGTTTCTCCTGGACCGACCCACTGTGCTTTCCTGTGGAAATTGTTGTAGTAGATCCACTTTTCATCACCAGTGATGAGATGTTCCAGCCATCTATTTCCCTTGTGCAAATTGAGCAGAGTCAAGCAGGCGTCCACACGACGATCGCGATCGACGGGTTTGAGGTGGTGCGGAACATATCGTCCCAGCTTTTTCTTCATTCCCAATTTCTTCAGCCCAGATTCGATAGTGGAACTGTGAACTCCGAGTGTGCTCGCCATTTCCCTCGTAGATTGGAATGGATCCGTTTTCACCACACGCCGCAGCTCGCTCAAGTTGAGTTCAGATGGGCGTCCAGACCTCTCCTCACCCTTCAAGAGTGTAGTCTCCCACCTTGAAGCGTTTGTACCAGCGAACAATGGTCCTGTAACTGGGAGCATGGTCCTTGTACACATCCTTCATTTTGGTCTCGGCAGCCTTCATATTAGAGCCGGAGTGGTAGAGGAAAAGTGTGACATGACGCAGGTGCTGACGATCTGGGACAAAATCGTTCTCCATACTGCAAAAAGGGGAAGTAAAAAACAACTAAGTGTTACTGATAGAAGCAGTATTACCTTGTCTGTTGTTGCTAACGTTGACGCTCAGACGCTGTCAAACTGCGAGGAGATATGCAAAATTCAAAAAAGTGACAAAACTTTCCCGCCAACCTCATACTTAGCGGAAAGACAGGCCGGATCCCTATAGGTTGGGACGATGCGTGTTTCGCAGCGAAGCCACATCCACAGCAGCCTAACAGCACCGTAGTCGCGCCGCTCATGCCGCTCCACTCTCACCGATTGAATGACACTAGCCATCCGACTTTAGCCATTCTAGCAGAGGGAGCGTTAGATGAGATCAGCACCAATAACAATCACCCAATGCACAAATCAGCGGCAAAAGGGCAGTCCCATTTCTTGGGTTCTGGGCCGTTTCTCACGTTTTTTCATCACGGCATGATTGATCATTTCATCTTTCGTTGACATAGACTTATAGCTACTCTCGAAGCAGCCGGCAACTTCACAAAGAATAGCAGATCTGTACATATTTCAAAATCGGAAACTGAGCGAGATTCGGTTCCCTATGTACATACTCACTTCACTAAAAGATAACACTCATCAAAAATAGTTTTGTTTGTTCCATTTCAAAGAACAGTGAAGTTCTTCTTCATTGGAAACTGAGGCTTTTGATTTAGCTTCTCCGACTCTCTCCTGGTACCCTCTATGGATGTGACGGTATTATGAACACTAAAGGAAAAGACGATGTGATGATGATCTTGTGTCTCTTCAAGAGTAAGCGAATTGGATTGCATTTCATTTCAAAAGCTTCAATGTGGTAGTGATTTCAGCTATGACTGTGTACTTTTGAAATTGAAAACAACTTTTTAGTTGGGGAGAGGGGTGAGAGGGATGGACGCACACATGTTTGACAGATAGATAATGTGATTTCTATGTAGGGATGTATTGTAGGACATTCAGTGTGGATACACGCCTAATGTCAGAGGGATAGAGAGGAACAAGCCGGCTGGTGTTCTACTTTAAAGGAATCTTCCACGGACCATGGACCAGTGGGCGGGACCGGAAGTGGTTTTGCGACGAAATGCATGGTAGGTACGGATCCACGTTCATGGGAAGGTTTGAAGTGAATCCTGTTCACGTTCGTGCGTTCGACACGTGGATCCGTACCTACCATGCATTTCGTCACAAAAACTTCCGGATCGCCGCCCACTGATCATGTAACCGTGAGATTTCCCTTTAGACTCAGCGAGCATTATAAGGCGATTGTGCTTTATAGTACTGTACGTACAATGGTTTTCAACGTACAGGTCGCGTTATCAAACCCCCAAGATGGAAGTCTTTTTTAAAGCGAGGGATTACGATAAGTTTGGACTGGGTTCATAGTGGAAGTGGAGATGCTGAATAATGCCCCAGTGGCGAAAAAAGCAAAGAAATCCGTCAAGAAGGCGCAAAATGGGACCCCTTTCTTTGCCCGTTGACCTCCGATAATGGACGAGCTAGCAACCAATTAGGAGGTCGTTTGCACATGTTATGCTGATAGCCTCTATCATTTCAGCAAGCATCATGCTTTGATTGATCACGCATCCCATGAAAAGTTATAGGATACACTCTGGAAGTGGAATATCTCGTCACATTGGCAATCGAAGGGCGCTGCTGCTGGGGGCGGAGCACAGACCGTGGCGGGGCTCAGAAAGGAATGGCAAGCCTTGTACGCTGCAACTAGCGCACCTTTGACCACAAAAAACGCAACATTTCGTTTCCTTGGGCCCCTGACTACTGCTTCCAATGGTGCATGTACTTCCACGCTGCATACGCACTTTATCGTAATCTCTCGCTTTAATGACGTCCCAGCACAAATTTGAGGTTTGATTGGCATGTACGGCGAACGACTCAGATTTGATTCCCTGACTTTGGGAATAGTAGGTGACGCCACTCGTCACCGCATCACTGGCGCACTTTTGCTACAATCTGCTACACTGGATATTTTACTCATTTTGCGCTGTAATAGCTTCATTCCCTGCGATTTTTACCATCTTGAAGGCAAAGTTTAGGATTTCTGGCGAAATTGGTTTTCCCCGTCAAATATGCAGCAGTACGCAAGGGCAGACCATGTGCAGAAGTGGCGGGGCGATTTGACAAGGTTTAGGCGCTAGGAGCCTAGGTTGGAGCATTGGCGCCGCCCCAACCCCATTGAGCCCGCCCACTGTTCCATGCGACCTTCCAAACAACCACATGGAACACTAGATGTTAAGTTGTTATTTGGAAGGTCGTAGAGGAATATTTAGCGGATTTCGACTGCGAAAAGCAACATCGAAGCTTATGCTAGGAAAGGCTCTCAGGTCGCTATGGCCTATTCAAGAAGAGATGTATACCGCTAGATGTGCCTTTGAACGCTGATCTCAAATCTACCTTCCAAATCTGCTAAACGATTCTCTGAAGGGAGTTATGAAGCAAAACAGCGCAACGGCAGTGGTCGGGATTTGCAGTCAAAACGTCGTAGGATCCCTGATCGCGTTTACTGTCTTGCGTTCTTCAGGAATTAGGCTAAATAGGCTATTAAAGCCTTTTAGCTGTACTCCTGAAGAAGGCAAAACAGTAGACGCGATCAGGGGCCGATCCTACGACGTTTTGACTGCAAATCCCGACCACTGCCGTTTTGCTTCATAACTCCATTCAGAGAATCGTTTAGCAGATTTGGAAGGTAGATTTGAGATCAGCGTTCAAAGGCACATCTAGTGGTATACATCTCTTCTTGAATGGCCATGGCGACCTGAGAGCCTTTCCTTGTAAGACCATTATCGAGAACCTAGTCATTCATTCTAGTGGTAAGCTTTTAAGATAAAAAAAACAAAAAGCACAGGTAAATAGAAAAAATAGCGAAATTAGAAGCAATCAGTTTTCATTGCTGACTTTTTGTAGCCGTGTCGGTTGCTGGCATAAAGCCAACAGTTGCTGTAGACACGTCCAAGACACGTAATTCTCCCAGCCCTGGCTTCTAAGCGACTAACGAAGAGAAATTTCTTATTTTGGTTTTTTGGGAGTACTTCCTGCTTTTTTCTTAGCTTCGATTCACTTAGCACCCAGTACTTCATAGTTGAACAGGTAAGTCCCACGTTTTATCCCGGAAGTTTGCCTTCAAATGTTGCTCTTTCATTGTTTCAAAGCATATTGAGCCCTCAACCATAATGTGTCCTTTTTACCACGCTCGTTGGGGCTGCTTCAGAATTCAAAACTTGCGGAAAGCGCATTTTTCAGGATCTTATGATCTTCCACCAAACATGAGAAGGACGTTTGAAAGACTCAATTGGGAGTACAACCAGAATTGGTTCGTTTTCTACTGAATACTACTAAACATAAGTTCAACTTATTATGTAATAATATGTCACTAGCGTGATTACGCAGCGGCTCTGTTTTGTATTCAAACTAATATTACAGAAGTGGGACGAAGATATTGCAAGTCTGGCGTTGGACGAATCCAAGTCTTCATCCAAAATACCCGGGTTTCTCAAGCTGCAAGCTAAGAAGTTAGCACCCATACATGGGTTAAATTTTTCGTCAAAGCTTTTCTGAACGTCTTTTTCATCTTCAGAGCATTTCGAAGCATGACCACATCACATCATTAAGGCAAACAGTGGCCTTCAAAACTTACGAATCGGCTTTCCAAAGAAAAGGACATGAAGTGGTTTTGTGCTTTTGTCTAACCCCAGTCCATAATGTAGTTTCACTAACACATCAGTTTCATGATTAACAAATATCGCATTAGAAGCTTGAGTTGAGCTAGCGGAATGCGCCCAGGGTTTGGAATCGGAATAAGTAGGGTCTGCTCCATTATGCACTCACTAGTACTGAAGAGGTTTTGACGCTATCGCAAGACAAGGGAGCATTTTTCTGCTAGTGGAAGGAAACAGTAGTTGTCTGTAAAGCTTCCATGTGACTAACAAAATGAAACTGGTCAAAAACTATTATATCTGTTGCGTATGAGTTTTTTTTTGATGCATTGCCCGACAAGAAGACTTATGGGCTCGGAGCAGGGGTGAAAATCGTGTCGAGTACGTGGTCGCAGAGGTACGACCCCCCCCCCCCCGAAATCGAGATCCTGGCACGACCCCCTCAAAACAGAGCAAATTAATTCAATTAATTAATCAAAATAAATCCTGCAAAATAAATCAAAAAAATTCTGCAAAATAATGTTATGGACGCTTCATCTTGTCATCTATGCACTGTCTTTCATCGCTGCACACTTTTGTGTATTTACTGAAATATCGACTCGAGGAAAGAGGCATTAACTTTGTGTGACCTCAAAGTCAGGTTCGTTCAGAAATGCACAGAAATCCTGAAGGCACGGGGTTGCGATTTAATCTTAATTCCTGCTTGAGTATATCGAAACAGCCGAGTGTATCAATCAACGGCCGATTCAACGGCAGCTGCGGCGCGATTGTCACTGGGTCAGATTTGCTGAAATCCCGAAAAAAAAACCGTCGAAATCTACACCCTCGATGAAAAGGTTGCATTCCTCCATTTCATAACCTTTGAAGCAGTTTGAGGTAGGTTAGATAGAGCTGGATTTCGCGTTTCCAAGAAGTATTGAAATTGCTCTGAAAGTCTTCCATGCAGAAAGATAGGGTCTCTCAAATTTCGTCGAGTAAACGTCGAGGACGCTGAAATTTTCACGCGAGTTTTTGCCACTTCAAGAGCAATATCTCTCTTAAAACGTGAGATCCTGAAAAAGTGAAGATAGTTTTGGAAAGCGGAAGGTTTGCGCTTTCTGATGGTCTTCTTAGCTTTCTTCTACATTTCCTAGTTGAGAAGATATCTGCGTCGAGTGTATCGAGGACGGATCCGGCCACCTGAAAATCCGCTCCCTTCTTCACCATTGCAAGTGTAATTGTTGGCAACGCTTGAAATGGGTCTAGAAAACATCCTAAGCAATAGGAAAAGGGGCAATCGTCATCATCGAATTTTGTCTGAGTATAGGCCATGCATCCGACCTCACTCGAAGTTGCAGAATCGATTCGAAGGTGTCATATGATCATGACCAGTTGACAGAAGCTGCATTGTAGTAAACGCATTTCGTAACTCCTACAACCTGAAGAACAACTTCATTTGCCCAGGGCTTTTCCTTCACGGTTGTCGTTTTTGCGACAGGGTCCCTAACAACAGTGTCATTCTCAGCGAGGTATTAAGGGAGAAGGAGCGAGCGATAGGCAGAGGAGGTGCCTTTGCAGCGCGTGCGCACATGTGGCAGTCTTCTTTGCGGGGATGCACTTTCATTCTTTGTACTGCCTTCAAATACGCCCTTCTCATGAAGGTGGAGGAATGGAGCGACTGAACCTGCAAAGAAAATTTAATATCATGTTTTTTTCAGATATTTTCATTTTCTGCTGCGCTATACCCTCTTACCTATCTGCACCACGATACCACTGCTTTACTTTAACTTTTTTTTTTTACTTGTTTTACTGACCCTCAAGAGTACGACCCCCCATGACCCAGCCCGACAGGTACGACCACCCCCTGTCGAGGATTTCCTCGACCGATATCACCCTGCTTCGACCATTGTCCAGCCTCTGAAGAAGGAAAGAAGCGAAAATGTCGCCTAATAGTGTTAAATTCTGAAGCTTGTGAACCCTTCTGAGCTTCATCATAACCAAAGCCTTTCAGAAAGGTCGAATGATGGACTCTCTGCTGAACTTTCAAGAATATAAGAGATTGAAAGGGGGATCCCATGATATGAACAACGTTCGAAGAAGGGGTAATTTATATAGTGAAGATGACGGGCGCAACAGTCCCAGCAGGGTGGGCGTGGTCGGAAACGGCTGCAATCCCCTCGGCCGATTCCCACTTCGGAGCTGTTCAGCCCCTAGTCAAGAACGTAAGAAGTGTGACTGAACAAAAACTCACCTTGGAAAGCCGCTAGGCAGGGAGCTGAAGTGGGCGTGGTCGGAATCGGCCGAGGGGATTGCAGTCGTTTCCGACCACGCCCACCCTGCTGGGACTGTTGCTTTAAGGTGCACACCAACAACCTTAGTATAGCCGAAGCACAATTCGCGAATTTCGAAGAATGCCCCAGAATGCCTGCCGCCGGCCCGATTGGCACGCTATTGCCCGATCTTCCCCTCGTTGCGTCTGCACCGTGCCTCACCTCTAGCCGTTCAGCGGAGAGACCAATGCAGTTGAAGGAGAGGGCAGACTTGATGAGAGCCAGCATAAACGCGCAACTCAACGGGAAAGCAGTAGCAATCCTTGGGTCCGAACCATTTTTCTCGGCTCTTTCTTCCTTCGCATAACTGACCATCTCTGTCCTTAATTTCCAATGGACTGCCTTTTCATCATAAATCGTGAGGACATGTCGAAAACTATCGATCAGCCTTGCTTGTTATAGCCAGGAGTTTCATTCTTTGCTTTCTCCTTTGCTATTTGGTTTTCCATGTTGATAACTACCAGAAATGGCCTCCTGCATTTGAAGGCAATACTCAGGATTAAATTATTCACCGTTAATTCCACTCAAATATGAAAGTAGGGGTAAGTAGTGGAACGACAGCGCAGAAAAAAAAACATCGTACAATGCAGCAGGAAATACGAGCCTTTTGCTACGCTGCGGAGAAGTTCAAAAGGCCGGCAGGGAGATGAGAGATAATGTGAGCGCGGAGAGCGCTAGAGAAGTCGAGTAGAGAGAGCATAGCAGATCAACATTGCGACGCAGACAAGATATCGAGCGGTGGGCGGAGCGTGTCGCAGCAGGTGGAGCGTGTCAAAGTTCTTAGCGCCTAGCGTCTAAATAACGCTTTTCGAAGTAGGGAAGTGACGCGACCTCTACACTTGCGTACCTAGCGCTTCTAGCTCATCAGGTGGGTTTGAGCCCGAACTATAAGTAGAGGGCATGAAAAAGTGGTCCAACCACCTTACAGTGCTTTCAGTTGGTGTACCTACCATAATGCGGAGGGCCTATCGAGCCAGCATTCTCCTTCCTACATAGTTTCCTCAAGACCAAGCTTTAGTGGAGGGACCAGGGAAGGGGGTGCACGAGCATTTTTATTTTCCTCAAGGTTCACCTTCTCCATAGCGATGCCCTAAAGGGTCCTTCTTCTCTTTAAGAATTCTCATCGTCTTTCCGGCTCAAAACTTTTTTTCGCACCACACAGCACAAATCCCATGCAAAATACAAAAAAAACTGGAAAATGGCAAGGGAATGAAGCCGCTAACACTTCGTAACTTCGAAGGGAGCCTACAGCTAATTGGGATTGAGCAGTGCACATGAACTGCTGTGGCGCGACGGCCCCATATCTTGCGATAGCGCCAATTTTCCATACGATTTCGCCTTGAAGATTAGTGTCTTGTTTGTGGCCGAAACTATCACTTTGATCACTTTTATTCAGGTTAGCAAGCTACCCAAGGGGACACTGTATGGATGCGATGGCATTTTCGACACGAAGAGGGAATACAACAATGTTGTGTCTGTAGTTTGCCTCTACGCCAAGTATGAGTAGTGGTCTGAATTGATTCCACCATTGTTAATTTTCCAATAAATTGTGGCAGCATTCGAATTACAAGGTATTAAAATGGACAAAAATGTACCATTGACTTTACTATGCTAAAAAACCATGCACCTTGCAGTATCTAAAACCAGCGGTGCTTATGTAATTTTTGTTCTTAACCCTGTTGGAAGTCCGCTCTCAGTTAGCTAACCGATAGCTTCAGGAGAAATTACGCAGTGATTGCGCACACTCTGAGAATCTGCTAGGAAGCCCAAAAAATCTTTTATCTTTGCTAACGGTGGATCGGTGGAGAGGCTGGTGCGACTTTCGTTTAGAAATCAGCTAGAACTGAGAAAAATTCCTAAACAAACCATCAGGGCTGTTCTTGAACTTTTTTTCATTCTGGACAGCCTTAAAAATCCACTTTGGACCTTGAGACGACGATCTCTGTACGATGGGTAAGAGAACGATTACTCGCTGACAGTCTGCTCTGTGTTAGGCTGAACCAGACAGACTTTCAACTCAATGACGTTCACTTCGAATCGAAATGGCACTCGGATTCTTATTCAACATCGATGATTCTACAGGAATGGCTGACGTTGAAGGATGGGGCTGTTTGAAAGAAGGAGCTGATTATCTGTCTGGACAAACGCTGGCAGAGACCCATTGTCAGTGGTGTTGGTCCAAGTGCTCGTCCCCCAAAACCTATATGATTTCTTCAACCTATGAGGAAAACGCACGGCCGATGTCAGACTTTGCGAACCGAGCTATTCGCTACCGTCCATGGTCACGACTCGATCGCAGACACTAGCGAACTGCTCGATTCGCAAAGTCTGACATCGGCCTACGCAAGGTTTCTTGACCAAGTATACGGTGGCAGCCTAACAATTTTGACCATGTTCGCCTCGAGAAACTCCAAAAAGGAAGGGGTCTACCAACGGAGAAGCGAATTTCATTGGTACGGTATTTTTGAGTGTATCATCCTCCAAATAAAAGGATAATGGGCGCTCAAAGGGCGGAAGTGGTGTAGTGGCAAGTGGCACGCTTCACCACGCGAGCGGTCCGGGGATCAAATCCTGGGTCGTGAGTCGCCCGGGCCAACCAAGCCTTCCATCCCTCCGGGGTCGGTTAATTGGTACCAGACTTGTCTGGGAGGATAAAAAACACTGACTTGAACATCGGCTGGCCCCCGCAAGTCATTGTATAGGCCACATCGCATTCAAACGCCACTGCGAATGTACAAATGGAAAGAGTTACGGGAGTGTGTGGGTGACGCATCCTCAAAATCCAGTTAGAAAATTGAAGTCAACAATTCAGTCCAATATGTGCTTAAATATAGTTGGCTTTATTCCCTCAAATTCGTAGTGGCAAAAATTAGTATCTATCCGCGAAGTACTAGCACTCGTGGTCCTGTTTGAGCCGCAACCGTAAAACGCGAATGTTGCTATAATACAGCATCCATTTGACAAACAATTTTCAGACGCGAGGCAGCGCACTAGTTCGATGGCTTTGGTTGTACGGATTAATTTAGCCAAAGTACATACTTCATTAACCGTTAAAAGGGCGGAAGCAGAACGATTTCGTCACACTCAAAATTTGCTGTTACTAAAATTACTGTTGCTTTTCGCATTGCGATTTGTCAAACGTCAAGCCCGGTGACCGACCTACTATATGCTCATAACGTGTCAACGGCTCCTCTATCGACATGTTATGTATGGTAAAGGAGCGCGCTTTATCACCGCAAGCTAAGAATGCCAAAATTTCTCTTTTGTAATGACCCGATATCGACAACTATAAACTCACGGCGATTGCCGTTACCGGTGTATATTTCCGTATTCATTGAACTCATCAAGTGAGAAAACGCTGCCTTGGACAAAAGAACCTCTTAAATCTGCTCTTGGTAATGTCGAAATGGTGGACGGCAGCTACAATTTTTCGAGTTTTTTCTGGAAATGACCTCCTTCCGAGAGATGCCACAAAGATCTAGGCGTCGATGGTCACAGAAAATTCATTTATTCGTTTATTTATTTATTTATTTATTTGATTTATTTAGTTTATGATATTATATACTAACGAGCAGTTGCCGCTGATTACATCTCCTGCTAAAAAAAACTGTAGGCATAGGATTAAATGAGCTTGGGTGGAAAGAAAGTTTTTATACACTTTCTTTGCGCTGCCTCTGGATTTCAGCCGAATGCTCTGGAACTTTCTGGATCGTATCTAGAGAAAAGCGCAGCTGCGCTTTTCCATCGATGGCGTCTACATCGAACAAATCGACTTCTCAGCGAGATCATTGACGTATGTCGCTACGTTCTCATCTTGGCCTCGTTGCGCCGTATCGAGGCAATGATTCGGGCAGTAGCATACACTGGCCTAGCGGAGGGTCTTGAGTGGCCACACACACTACACACCGTTCTTAAGGCCTCCTTCATAGAAATTAGACAAAGTCTTGAAATGTGATAATACCGAGCGATTCCATCGGAGTTTACAATTTATCCCCCTGTCACATCGATGATAGGTGCGGCTGTGCACTAGGCGAAGACGATCTGGAGTACTTAAATTCCGACTTAAAGGCAAACTCCGGGATTAAACAGGTGCTATCAGCGCTTTGTGGTGATAGCTTAGCTGCGGAACGACCTGAAAGTGGAAAGGAAAGCAAGAGAAATCCTTGGGAACGCTGCAATTAAGGCCTTAACCTTCAGTAGGGTAGAATGTGGTACGATGGCGAGAAAGGGCGGTCAAAGAAGACAAAATACGCAGAGAGAGCACGTCCGTTTGAGAGACACTCGGTGGTCTCTCATCATGACTCTGCTCTACCACAGTCTCGTGCCGCGGATGGAATTGTGTTGGAAGGGGAGTCGGTGCGGGATATGCGGACGTAAGGACGTTTCAGCGCCTACAAGCCGCGCAGTTTTTCCGACGAAAGTGGAGTGATCAGTTAGTACAGGACCTTTCTAATTTCCCCGTGGGGATCCCTCCTGCAGTCGGCGCTAATATCCGGTTTGCCTTTAGCGTTTATCGTACGAAAATCGCCATATTTCTACAAGATGTTACATTATGATCTGCGAGGTTAGACATGTTGTTGACTTTTGTTTGCCAACTATGTTGGGGCTTTTCTTAGACTGAATACAGACATACAAACCGACACACAAAGTTTTGGCTTTATATTAGGTCGCAACGAAAGTCCTGGCGCATTTTTTCAAAGTCCTGACAAACGGCTGCGCATTAACCTGGAGGGGAAAATTTTTTAACCATATACAGGAGTGGTGATATTCCTTCATATTTCTCGAGTCTCACCTCCTGCACGCTTTTTGGAGCCTGGAAAATGCCATACGTTTCTACCCATGTACCCCACTGACTTCTTTGCGAATTTTGTCTGGGCCCCACGGAATTTTGTCTGGGCCCCACAGCGAGCGAAGCCTGCCGCAAAATATGCTCTGTGGAACTAGAGGGAGTGGTAAGTGAAAAAACCTGCCAACTTTGGTTCAGAAGGCTCCGCGAAGGAAACTACAACCTCGAAGATGGACGCCCAACGAAAGTTCAATTTCGAACGTTTGGAGCTGTTACTTCAAGACTTTCCGCATGCAAGCGCCATGGAGCTGGCAAAGGAGATGCACTGCTTTCAACATGGCCACAGGTCGTGTTCATCACATGCTGGAAAAAGTTGAGAAACTTGGTCGATTGATCCCTCATGAGCTGACAGAGCATTGCAAGAAAAGAGGTATCGGGGTGTGCAGAGGTTTTCTTGCAAGAAGTTGCCGTTTCGACTGGCTGGATAATGTAATTACTGGAGATGAAAGGTGGGAGCTCTACGTCCGTCATGCCAGAGAAAGACAGTGGATGGGTGCGAATCAGAAGCCAGAGCCTGTTCCAAAGCAGGAGGTTCATCCCAAGAAAGTTCCTCTGTCAGTTTGGTGGAGTGTTCGGGGAACACATCATTACGAGATGCCAGACAATACCACCGTCGACGCTGAGGTGTACTGCTCACAACCACGAAGGCTCGCAGCTGAATTCGCGAAACGTTCGCCCGAAGCTGGACGAAGTCCCTCTTCTTCATGACAACGCGCGACCACATGCTGGAAGGGTAACCCAGGACACATTGGCGGAACTTGGATCTGCGGTTTTACCCCATCCTCCATATTCGCCAGGTCTTGCGCCTACGGATTACCACCCGCTCCTTTTCCTGGCTCACTTCGCAAAGGGTAAAAAGTACGACAACTGTCAACAGTTGAAAGCGGACATGGGCACTTCTTCGACTCGAAACCTGCCGAATTTTGAAGGTGGGGCACTTGTTCCCTTGTAGACCGATGGCGGCCTGTGTAGGTACTTGTGGGAATTATTATTCGGAAAAGTTCAATTCAAAGAAAAATATGAGCTTTTGAAATTCGAGGGTCGAATCCGCCATTACTTTCGTTGCGACCTAATAGATAGGAATAGAATAGCTTCATGTTTTGATAATTTAAAAATTTCAGAAGATGTAAAGGAGCTTCTCCCTCAACTCGATGATTTTCGCCACAACAAAACCCTTCTTTCAGATTCAAACGTACCCCTACCGAGAGCCCTGAAAGTGGTATTTCAGGAGCTAATCCGAATGCAAACCAAAACTTTGGTAAGTGCTTTTGGCAAGGTTACCCTCGCAGTATAGTCATTCTTCAGCAAGTTTCTTGCATAACAAAATTTACACACAGGTGTGGAATGAAGATCTGGCGGATGCGGCATTGGACATACTGACACGGAAATATTCCAAGCATTTTTCTTTTGTCCTGACGATCACAGCTAGAGAGTTCGTGTCAGATGGTTTATGTACAATGACTACGAACGTTTTGCAAGGATGCCGATGCCTTCGTTCAGGTATTTCTGGAAAGGTGATAAGTCGACAATGGAAGAGAAGCTGCGTTACACCTTGACGTACACCTTTCGTAAGAGAGGATCCGAAGTGAGTTGGGGTTATAATAGTAACAGCTAACTGAATGATCAGCGTAATTGGCAACTAGCCTTTAGAGCTCGCGCAAAAATGACAAATAAGAGAATCCCTTTTAAATGTGGAACATCAGTTTGTTAAGCCTTCTTGCCTCCTTGTTTTTGTTTGTTTAATTGTTTGCTTGTTACCAGCAGCTAGGTTCGCTGCGTAGACCGAAGAAAATAGCTTGGGTATGGTCGCCAGTGTATGGGAAATCGCCCATGGGGCATGTATGGTTGAAGGCATGGGCCAACAGTGGGTACGATAGTTGGGCGCACCAGGGCCAGGTGGGCGGGACTTATGCAAAAAAATTTGTTGGAGCTACAACTTCCAATTTGAATGTGAGGGGGCAGCTGCTTCCACATGGCAGAGCTTGGCCCGAGGTGGGCACTTTAGTGGTAGGGGCTTTCGCCAGCGAACCTCGCTGCTGGTAACAAGCAAGCAATCAAACAGCCAAACAAAAACAAAGAGGCAAGAAGACAGGCACACCAAACTGATGCGTCATATTCGAATGGGATTCCCAATTTTTCATTCCATAAAATATTTCTTGAGAAATTAGAATTCCGTTTTGAATGTAATAAGGGTCTCAGAGAGCGTATGGTTGTTCAGGCACTAAGAAGGGAGCAAAAGCTAGTCCTGTACGCTATATGTAGTGAGGAGTGTAAGGTACAGTAGTGGTCAATATCCGGAAGAGCTTCCATTCATTATTTTTTCTTCAAAAAAGCGCTAAGGCCTGCCATCAAATTTTCTCAGTAATTTTCAGAGTCCGAGTGAGTTATGCGTTCAAAAAATTGACAGATATACATATCAGACGAGGGAAGAAACTGATCAATAAGGAAAAAGAATGCTGAGGGTACGCCTTGAAAAGCCGGGAGATCTGCAAAAATCGCGAATGCATTACCATTGCATAAATAAATGAACGCAGAAGGTTTCAGAGTTATGGGACAGTACATACCGTTTTCTACCAACCCTCGGTTCTCCGATTCTTCTTTTCCTCCAATTCTGCACGATAATTTACGCCATTGGGTCTATTCCAGTTAGGGGGGCATCATGATGCAGTTTCTCGGCGAGCTAGTGTAAACTCGAACATTCCAGCTTTTCACGCATGTCAAGTGACTGCCCTCACCCCCCCCCCTAGACTGGCTACACTCTCCCTGG